GGATCGCCAGAGCCCAGCAGGTGAGGCTGCGGTGGCCGGGAGCGGCCACTACACTCCAATGTGGGCGACAGAGTGAGACTCCAAATCAAAAAAAAAAAAACTATATTAAAATTTTCTAACATTACGACAATGCATAGTGACTAAGTTTGTTATTCAGCATACCTATAATTAAAGTCATTATTAAAACAATGTGAAATATAAAGGTATTTTAAGCAATATGTTTTACATATAAAAATAGATCATTTCTATAGAGACTTGAGATGAAGGGTGGAAGGAATAATAGTTTTCTCCTTTTCTGATTTCTTCTCCTGACTCATTGTCTCAACCCAATTACAAGTTTCATTATTATTACCAGCTATAGAGAAGTAATCAAACAAAAGGCATCTGGGACATATTACTTGGTTTTACCTTAGGATTAATGGAATTCTTTTTTTAATATTAAAGATGTGGGGTACAATTTAGGATTAGGTAGATAAGTGGTCATTGTACAGCTTGGTGGGACTCCATGCTCACAGCATCTGACCCAGTGCAAGTCTTTTCTCCTGCTTGGGCTGTGACTGCCCACCACTGTGCCATGCCCAGGACTCATCTGCCGAGGGACCCACGGCATGCCTATGGCTGGGAGGGGGTGAATAGTCTCCAAGCGTCTTGGGCTCACTTGCCCAGTCTCGTCCACTGGGCAAGGCTTCACTTCTTGTGGGAGCCTGGTGCAGGGTGGGCATGGATCGTCTGGATTCCTGTGTCTGCCATGGTTTTCTGTTCTCTATGTGTTCAAAGAGATCTTTGTGGGGTACAAGGTGTTTCCCCCATCCAAAAGTGTTCAAGATGTCTTCGTTAATCAGTGGCTGAGTCCCTAATCTTTGCCTTACTAGCGAGAGAGGTGTTGGTCTGCTGATCCACGGTGGCCATTCTGGGAGATGTTTCTGCTATATTCTTATTTGTTTTAGTCTTTTTTTCCATGGTGGTTAATTTTATACAGTTGCATTGCCTTTAAACTTACTAATATTTTGTGTAATCGGCTCTTAAGTACATCTGGTAAATTTTTAATTTATATATTGAATTTTTTCAGTCCTAGAATTTCCATTTAGTTCACTTTTGTATATTCTATTTCTCTCTGTATTATGTTCTTGTCTTCTTTAAATCCTTTAGTATGTTTATAATCGCTATACTAAAGCTTTGGTTTGTTAATTATATCCCCTTTTAAAGTTCTATATGCTTCAATTGAATAATTTTTCCCACTCCCCTCAGTTATTGATCACAGTTTGCTTCTTCTTTGAATGCTAGTATTAGGAGGTTATGGATATTTTTAAATATCATACCATCCTTTGATGGACTTTATTGCATGTTGAAATATCTTTTGGTGGGTAGTTAAGCTACCAGTGAATCAACTGGATAATTTAAAGTTTCTTTTCACTTTGTTAGAGGGTCTAAAGGAGCTTTTCCTTATGTCTTATTTAGTCTTCATACTAAATAAAATAATAAATATTTCTCAGTTACACAGGTCCTCTGGAAATTGTTCCATTTACAGATTCCTGACAATTATTTCCCCAAACTCATGGAATTTCACCAAAAGTATGCAGAATTTTATTATTCAGGAACAAGCTCAATGGGGACCCTACGCAGATTTCTAATGTGTTTCTCTGCACAAGTCCATCTTCTCGCACACAGTGTTCCCAAATCCCCAACCACCTCAGCCTCATAATCTCCCATATCCATTCCCTCTATTCAGGGAGACCACCATGCCAACTTGGGTTTCCTTCCCTCAACTGTGGTTCAGAATGCCTTCATACAACTATACATACAGGCTCATTCTGTGCATTTCCCTTCTCCCAAAGATCACAAGCCTGCACTGTTTTTCAATCAATGTCTGTGAGCAGTCGTTTTACATATTTTTCCCATTTGTTGGGAGAGAAAGCCCATTTCTAGTAATCCGTTATAGATGAAGGTTGAATTCTTTCTTTGGGTGACTTTTTAAAAGTCTATGTGCCAGCTATATCCTTAACATCATCTACTGGATAAAACATTCAGACATTCATAAAACAATATCAAGTGGTTTTTGAATAGATAATGAAGAGGTGGGACAAGAGACATTTAAATGCTAGCCAGTTTTAATGCTTTAAAGATGATAAGCAAGACCTTCACTCATAAACAAAATGATTACATTCGATTAACTTGTAAAAAAACACAACTTTTCCACAGTGGTAAACTATAAGACTTGAATCAATAAAAAAGAAAGAAAGAAAGAAAAGAAAGAAGTATATACTTCATGGAAAGGACCAGTTGAAAATAAGTAGGCTGCTAAATGAAAACGTGAGGATTACAGAGAATGAGGTAAGCAGGCTTCTAGCCAAGATACTGAAGACTAAGAGTGATTTTCAACTCAGTGCAAAAGGATACTTGGTCCAATATGTGTAGAAAAAAAATGAAGTATAGAAACTTGTGATGCATGGAAAATAACCAGCCAGTCACAACAACCAAAGGCACCACTGAGGATCACTGAGCTAACAGAGCTGTGTAATAGTCCTAATCCATCTATGGAGAGGAAAGAGGGAAATAAATGCTATGAGGTTAAAGAAATATATTCCTGTCTGTTCTCTCTCTCTTTCTGTCAGTTCTGGTGCAGGCAACAAAGCATCTCACAGAGTCAGAGGGGAGAGGTTATTTCTTTCACCACACTGAGGTCTTCCCACAGGAGAAGAGCATGATGCCCATGCTGTTTAGTAAAAGCTGTTTTGGAAAGCAGTATTAAAGCAAGAATGCAGAGCCACCCGATTTGCAAAATACAAGGCTCCTAGTGTTACTAACTAAAGATATCATCTCTATAGACTACAGTTCAATCCAACTATCTCTAAGAACATGGCATGAGGAGATACTGGGCTAAAAACTAGGGAAATATAGGTAACTCAGATTATTCTATCCCTCTAGTAACTTACAATACAGAAGAACAATCTGAGATAAAAACATTCAACATTTTTGACTGCAATTATTTTTCATTTATTTAATGAGAAGAGATAAAACCACAGGCAAAATTGGAACATGCAAAATCTGCAAAAAGTTAAATTTGATAAGATTGAACAGAGTACAAGTTTAATGAAAAGTTGGGTTTAGTAAAGTCTATAATGGTCAGCAAGGATGACATGTTTTCTACAGCATTCCAAGGTTCTAACAAAAATGACATATTTCATATATATGTAGATCTACTATCTGATGCAGCTTAGCGTTTTCTAATTAGAAGCTATAGAGACTCAAATTCTCTATAATTTTAGATTAATAATCTTAAGAGAGGATAGTATTGAGACCGTTGTGCTATCAAAAGAAATACTAAGTAAATGTGACTGACAATTCCTCCCCTGCCAATTCAGAGTGCAATTCAGGGTGGCCAAATTACACTCACATCATTGCAAATATACTTCTCTGTCCTGTGAACTTGAGTTGAAGGTTTTTCTTCCCTCTTTATTGCAGAAACGAATATAAGATAATAAATGAAGCTTAATATGTTTGTAATAACTGATAAGAAAAATGATACTTGAACACAAAAGCTGAAAATGTGGAAATCTTAAATAGCATTAAATTACTTTTTTCTCCGAAATTATCAAATTTATTATTAGATCCAATAATCCCAAAGACACTTGAGTAATAAGGGCTCTCAGAAACCTACCTCCTATACATGTTTTTTCGCACTCTTCCAGACTGTCAAATCGATTCTGATTTCCTTCACAGCCCCCGTATATAAATTCTTCACATTGTTGAGAATAAATATTGAAGAAAAATCTCCTCATCATTGCTTTGCATGGGCCGTCATCTGCTTTCATTCCACAAAATGAATGCAAAGGTTTCGTTGATGGCAACTCAATATCTACAAGGTAAACAAAAGATATAATAGGTAATCCTTTATCAACACTATACTAATGTTCTTTATCTTATTTTTAATATGTTCCGGTTTTAAAGAAAAGTACATTAGTACATTCTGATAAGAAAACAAAAAGCTATTCAGTTAGCAAAAATGTAGATAAAGTTTGGTCTTGGTGGCTCAGTCTGTAATCCCAGCACTTTGGGAGGCTGAGGTGAGTGGCTTGCCTGAGCCCGTGGGTTCAAGACCAGCCCTGGCAACTTGGCAAGACCTTGTCTCTACAATTAAAAAAAAAAAAAAAATTAGCCGAGCATGGTAGTGAGCGCCTGTAGTTCCAGCTACTTGGAAGACTGAGACGGGAAGGATCGCTGGAGCCCAGCAGGTCAACACTGGGGTGGCCGTGAGTGTGCCACTGCACTCCAGCCTGGGCGATGGAGTGAGACCCCAAACATAAAAAGAAAAAAAATGTGGAAAAGGTTAATAAACATATCAAATGAGATACATCTTATCAACTACTAGTTTATTAACTATTAAAGTTTAATATTTGATTGTTACAGAGCTCATCAAATACCAAAGGAAAGCTGTAGAATATTTTTCCTAGACGCTTGTTGAATAGGTGTTGCTTAAATCTGTATCGGATGACTGGAAGAGAATCGAGTAGTAGTTGTAAGGCACATTAATTCCAATAATGTACTCACCATAGGCTACATCTTTTAACTCAACTAATGGATAATTCTTTGAGCGCCTCTCCTTAATCCACAACTGTGTCTTAAAAGTAACAGCATATTCGTGTTTATATATGCACATGTTCTATATATGCACGTTTCTTAATTATAAAAATGTACATGTTTGATGTTACAAATGAAATACACTGCGTGGTGTATTATTTTAATTGCCATGGTTGGATTTAATAATTTGGAAAAACTTGAGCAATGCTTTCTATGTTTTAAATAGAATGAGACTATTCTTCTGAGTTTGAGTTACATTTTTGGGAACAGACATACATGCAAAAGAGACTCAATTAAGTTTTAAAAAAATTTATTTTTATGAAGTCCTCTATTATTTTTAATAGAGGCCTAATTTTAAATAAGTTGCATTTGTTTACCACTATAGATAGACACTGAAAATTGTGATTGCTACAACCAAAATAATAATGACAAAAAAAGCCATATAATACCTCTTGAGTATTGTCTATATGTCTATATATTTCTATTTCTTTGGGAATTGATTATTGACTCCAGAGGATATTGAAACCTGAAAAGACTTACACCAACTTGCCCTGTAGAGGGCAGCAGTATTATATTAAATTAAACCAGTTGTTACCAGAGGCTTCAGAAAAGTGTTTTATTGCAGTCTAAGATAATTTGCTTTGAACAAAAAAAAATAAATGTCACCTTAATATTTTCATATAAAATATTATTTAAGTGTGAAATAAAGATAAGGGATAAATTTGTGGGTGTACAGTAGTCTGGAAGGAAATACATTTTAAATTTTCTGTAATTTCGAAACGTCAATTTTTTTAAAAAAGAGAAAATATACATATAATAAAAGTTAGATTAGATAATTTTATCACATCACGTTCACCCTTTATATGTTATTAATCTAATGATCTGTTTTGAATTCATGTCAAGTATTAGCCAGATTTCGGTAATATTACAACTCTTTGTAGCAAAGTGACTGAAATGTTATTAATTTTTTATATGTTATAAACTGATGGTCTTTACAATCTTGGAATGGTTAAAAATATAGCTTTCTATACATAAGTGGTATTTTGATGCTGTTTGATTCATTTGACACTAAATGTGAATTGTATCTCAATGACTAACACAAGTTTCAATTTTTAAAAATTTGAGTTTAATTTAAAAAATATTATGTCACCATTTTGATCGATTTGATAATGACAATGGCTATTTTTTAAATGGCAATAAAGTCAGTCTATGAAACCAATAAAACAGTAAGTTTTTTAGACTACAATTGATAAGGTAGAATAACATATAATAGAGAATTACTATGATACAGGGACAACTTCAGTACTGAATACAGTTGTCATGAACTAGTTAAGTAGCAAGTAATAATGCTAATCAAACTTTTGACTTGAGTTTATGCAGCTGTATATTTGTGTGCTCTCAACTTTCTCTGGAGATATGTTATTATATTGATGAAATATAATATTTGTATTTACCAATATGATATTTTAAAATAATTTTCACCAAGAATATAGCATCCTTAAATTCAATAAATACTTATAGTATCTATGCAAATACTTTTACCAAAGTGAGTTAATAACTACTGATGAATGTGACCTATAGCATATATGTACATTTTTTTTTTTTCTTTTTTGAGTTGGAGTCTCACTCTGTCGCCCAGACTGGAGTGCAGTGGCCGCTCCCGGCCACCGCAGCCTCGACCCGCTGGGCTCCGGCGATCCTTCCGCCTCAGCCTTCCAAGTAGCTGGAGCTACAGGCGCGCGCTACCATGCCCAGCTAACTTTTGATTTATTGCAGAGACGAGGTCTCGCCAAGCTGCCCAGGCGGGTCTCGAACCCGCGGGCTCAGGCAATTCACTCACGTCAGCCTCCCAAGGCGCGGGATTACAGGCTGAGCCACCGAGCCCGGCAATGTAAATAATTTTATCAAATAGTTAATTATTGGTGAATGTGTCATTTCTTTTCTTTATAATTATTTAACATTTTATGTTGATGAACTTATCTAAAATATGACAATTGACTTTAAAATGTCCCTCAGACATCTCAAGAATTTCTGGTACCTACAAATATGAATACTTCACGACAAAATTCAGGAATTCCTTAAATGCTTATAGATTTCCTTGAAATCCTCCAATTTTCTTTGATTAGAAACATGAGTACTTTTTAATATAAATTAATAACATAAATATTTTTGCAATTTAGAGGACTGCCAAAAATATTTTCCCTGGAAAAATGTCAGTATTTAAACAAAAATGACTTTTGAAAAAAACACATTTTCTCAACCACTAAAATATAATTATCACTTTGAATTCAAAAATCCCTGAAAGTTTTTTTTTTTTTTGACTAGCACATTTATGAATAATTAGAAATGCTGTTTATATTTTCTGTCTTTCATAAGCACTTTAGAATGCCAAGATTGGCACTAAGTTGTGAGAAGCCAGAAAGTTTTGCATGTAGACCCCAAGTGGAATCTCTGACTTACTGCAGGTCAAAATAAGCATCATTGCTAGTACCGTGAGTTTTTCACTTTACACACATAAACATTTTCCCTGTTCCTCTCAGGCTAGTTGAAGTACCCTACCCTCATAACTGATAGAGATTGAACTATCAGTTCTGTGAATGTCTAATCTCAGAATCAGATTTTCTGTATTAAGGATATGCTCACCCCAAGTTCAATTTGCTATTTGTTAATTTTACCACCAGGTGGTAGCAGTTTACCACAAAACAAAAGACAGAGACAGCTGTAGCAGTCATACCTAGCAATAACAGCTAATGTTCACTGAGTAATTACTGTCCATTTAGTAATTGCACCATTTAATGATTATAACAGCCTTATGAGGTAGGTATTATGATCTCTATTTCATAGGCGATAAAATAGTATTGCAGAACTTAAGTAACTGGCTCAAAATCACATAATAAATAATGGATTTAGAATTGACCACATATGATTTTACACAAGATATCTTACACATTCTTAATAACTGTGTGATATTGTCACAGATCTGTGACTGAGATTCCTAAACTGGCATTTGGATTAAGCAAAAACATTTGGTTGTATAATTTCCAATCAATTAATAACATTTTAAAAATTTCGCTTTATAAAACTAAAAAGTAATTTCAGTGACAGAAGTAGGCAATCATTTTATAGCAACTTTCTAAAGAAAAGCACTATATATTAACTTTTGTCAACTATGCTTTATTAATTGCTAGCTGATTATCTTTATCATTTACAATTTAACTCATTCCTTATAGGAATCCTGTATCAGGATTTGTGTAGTAGGCTTACAACCCAAACCTGAGCACAGCATCTCTGGAATGGGGCAGTGGCTATCGGAACCACACTGCCATGCCACACCACTCACAAAGGATGGTAGTATGCTTTGGTTCTCACTTCTGACCTTGGGCAAACCATTTTGAATATCAATAATCATGTGTTGACCATGTACTGCCAGGCACTGTACTGCCACTGCAGATATGACAGTAAAGGCAGCGGCCCCTCTTTCATGGGGCATACAGACACTGTGGACTCTCTTATATTGATATTCAGGAAGTCCTGAGTGCTGTGTGAGTGTAGGTAGGATACTTCAGTAGCCTGAGGGCGTCAGAGACAACTTTCCTATACGTGAAATTGAGACTTGAAGAAAATGTTGATGCACACAAGGATTATCTGCCTGCGGTCATGATTCTGAAAAACACAGACATGACAATCTAATAGGAGTTTCAGCTGTGGCAGCCATATAAGTAAAACTATGGTTTATATTTAATCGTGTTTATAATTGATGACATGAATTTTTTGTCTCATAATCTGAGGGTTACAGTCTTGTCTTCTCCTCCCCGGTGTCCCGGGATATCTGGAAGTTTCATTCTCATAATTGAAGCCTGAGAGCATGTCATGTCTTTGGCTGTTAGAGTCCTCATTCTCCTGAAACTTGTTTGTAAATCTCAAACTTTCAGGTAACTCTTTAGGAGGCCACACATTGCTTGCCTCTCTGAAAAAGGAGACATTTTTTATTGGCAGGGAAAGACACAGGCATACACTATTTGCCTTTTCTGTGTCAGAAAATGTACCAGATGATTTTATGCTGTTTATGGAACTACTATATGAAATTAGTTATTGACATCATTTATTTACAGTTCAGGATACTGGGAGTAAAGAGTTTAAATAACTCGTTTAATTTTGCAAAAGTACTGGGTGGACAAGCCTACCTGCAAACTCAGATCTGTCTCACTTTAAATCCTATAAAAGATACATGCCTAGTTCTAAATGCTCACTGCTAATCTTCTCTCTCCCAACTCAAAGGAATTTTTTGAAAACATATCACCACTGCTTTTATAATCATTTTGCTTTAGCAAGAATTTTTTTCTCTATCATCCTCCCTGATGGTTAGACTGATAAAAAGTAGACTGCTGTTTGACTTGTGAGGGAAGCAATTTAATTCTATATACTTTTCTATAAATTATAGTACTCTATTTCAGTGAAATGATACACGTCTACAAAGTGATGATATGATTTTGGCATCATCTGATAAATTATATCTCCAAAATGGAATTTATTCAGATATGAGATAATGTTATCGCAAAAAAATAATACAAAACTAGGTAAAGCTTAACTGGTCAGCCAAGGAGTCTTCACATCTAGCTTCAAGATCAAAATTCTTTGTTATCCATCTAGATTCGGAAGCTACCTTATAGTGATTTTAAATTCTGGCCTATTTATTGGTGGGCTAATTCTGGTTTACTGGTTGACTGTGACAATAGCAACAATTTCAGGAACCTCTTGGGGAACTGGCATTCATTTTCTCAGTCTGATTGAGGGAGATTAGACTGGGAGAATACTGGGAACACTTGAACCTTTCTCCACCCACTTCATAAGACTGGGTTTACTTTATGCTCCACCTTCTTTATTTCTATAATCTCTAGAATGTCAGAACTTTAACTCACCCCCTCTTGAGAAAAGAACTGAATGAAGGATAGAAACTCATCTCATAATGTCCAACTTGCTATTTTGAAGAGGCACATTTTGGTTTTTATTTACTCAATAAAGTTCCCTCTCCAGGAAATCTTTATAACACCACTTCCCCTTGCCAGGCTCTCAGATTGCCAGGCTTGACTGAGTCTCCTTCCTCTTTGCGTCAATAGTAGTACTCTGTTCTTGCTTCTGTCACTTCATTTGCTACCTCAGACGGTCATAAACTGTCCACCCTTCAGTCTCCCCTAGGAAACTGTGAGATTTCATTAACCTTGTCTTAGCCATCACTGTTTTCTTAATACCTTCAACGGCTATGTATTTATTCAAACCTTATTAAAGGGAAGTACACTGAACACAATCACTTTAATGAGTTATTAGAGATATAAAATAACGTATTTATGGAAATCTTTTATACATCCTAAATTGCTACACTAAAAGAAGTCATCATTTTGCTAATATTCTCTTAGTAATATCAATGACTGGAGATTTCAACCAACAATTTGCCACAACACATAAATTTAAATAAAGGTATATATAGTCTGGGCTTAGTGGCTCATGCCAATAATCCCAGCACTTTGGGAGGCCGAGGTGAGCCTGAGCCCATGGGTTCGAAACCAGCCCGGGCAACTTGGGGAGACTCCATCTCTAAAATAAATAAAAAAAATTAGCTGGGCATGGTGGTGCATGCTGTAGTTCCAACTACTGGGAAGACTGAAGTGGAAGGATCACCTGAGCCCAGCAGGTAGAGGCTGTGTTGGCCGTGAGTGTGCCACTATATTCCAGTGTGGGTGACAGAGTGAGACTCCAATTAAAAATATATATATATTACTAAATAAATAAATAATGGAAGAAAGAAAGGTATATAACTATAACAACAATCAATGCATAATCTTCACCTTGTCCTATTTTAATGTTAATACTTTCACTTTAGACACAGAACTTTATGGGATTGGAACTGATCCTTTGGTGTCCTCCTTGACTAAATTCTTACAATGGACTCATCTGTGAAGTTTTTATTTTGGAAATATGGTCTGGAAGCAGCAAATGGCTGAATCCTCAGATGGATGAAGTTCCCTTTCCTTCTCACACTAATCCCAGGCAAAGAGTGGCACAGGTGTCACAGCCGGTTATTTCTATAGCATTTGGACCTTGCACTATTCCACAGATATTTCAGTGTTTAATATTAGAACCTGAAAAGAAAAATCTTTCAGCTGAAGTGACTTGTTTTGGGACTAATAAAAATAATAAAAATAAATACACTCATTAGACACAAGACATTTCCAAGGAAAAATGTCACTTCAATACCAAATCATTTTCCTACCCATTGGAAGGATATGATAGATGTTTAGATTAAAATTGAGAGCTTTGACTAGCTTCTACCATTTTACCTGTGAAACTTATATATTCTTCATCTTCCTCATGGCCAGCATTAAGGGCAGAGGCTAGACTAAGCAGCAGACAGACAGAAGTCCAAACAACACGTTCTTTCTTCATTGTACAAATCGTCTCTGAAATACAGAACCCACACATGTCTAGTAAGTAAAGAGCTAATGGAGACTCATCTAAAGACAGTAGGAATCTTATGCATATTTCCAAGTATACATTTCTGTGACATTTAATTTACATTCACATAAATCTCTCTCTGTACTCCATGAATCATATTTAAACCATGCATATGTAGTATTCTAAATTGTGGACAAACATATATTTGTTAATATTCAAGTACATAGTCTTTTCTCCACCTTGAAAATATAAATTAAAGCCAGGCTTGGTGGCTCAGCCTGTAATCCCGCGCTTTGGGAGGCTGAGGTGAGTAGATTGCCTGAGCCTGCAGGTTCGAGACTCGCCTGGGCAACTTAGCGAGACCTCATCTCTACAGTAAATCAAAAAATTAGCCAGGCATGGTAGCGCGCGCCTGTAGTTCCAGCTACTTGGAAGGCTGAGGCGGAAGGATCGCCAGAGCCCAGCAGGTCGAGGCTGTGGTGGTCAGGAACGGCCACTGCACTCCAGTCTGGGCAACAGAGTGAGACTCCAGCTCCAAAAAAAGAGAAAATATCAATGAAAAGAGCAGTAATTGAGAGGCATGGATAAATGCTGATCAATATGGCTAAATGTGTATTAATGCCTATTTTCACACCCATTTCTACTTTCCAGACTATTCTCCGAGCTATTCTCTCTTAGTCAGAAGTGACAATATTTTAATTTTTAAAACATTTGTATTATTTCTTTAATGCAATGTCCAATTCCTGGTTTCTCTTCTCTTCTCCTCTGGTCTGGTCTTTGCTAAAAAAGGAAACATATTTTCAGAACTTTCCTCCTTTCATCTTTGTTTTCTTTAAAATTGTGTGTGTGTGTGTGTGTGTGTGTGTGTGTGTGTGTTTCATCCATTTCCTTACCGGTATTTTATGAGGTAGCAGACAGGCAGAACAAAAGACAAAAGAAATGTCTAACATTCCAGTCAGTCCATTTCCCCAGTTCATTCTTCCTCAATTTAGGAAGTTATCTGATTCAAAATAGTTTAGAAGAAAAGTGACTTTAAGTGATAAGCCAACACTTTCACGCTCTAAAGGAAATGGATTTCAGTAAGAAAGTGAGACTTTTTCTGTTTCAAGATTATTTACAGATCCATAGCGACGTGTGTGTGTGTGTGTGTGTGTGTGTGTATGTGTGTGTGTGTGTGTGTGTGTGCGCGCGCGCGCGTGTGTGTGTGTGTGTGTGTGTGTGTGTGTGTGTGTAGTGCTAATATATATATATAACTAACACATGTTTTTAAAAAGACGATCTCTCCTCTGGGTTTGAAAATGTGTGATGTTCATGAAGCATAGAAAGAATAAACAGAGAACCCATGCTTATGTTCTCAGCCACCAGTGCTATTGCAGTCAGGAAGGAAAGCAAAATCTTATCACAAATGCAGGGAGAGATAATAAAAACACAGGAGAGAATTCTCTGGTTGTGTTTACAGTGGATCACAGCTGCAATATATACCACTAAAGTGTGGGTAGCCTTGTAATAATGAGGTAATAAGTGTCATTTTGCTCTAATTTTCACTAAAATTACTAGTGAAACATACAACCTATTTTCTCACAACACTTTGGAGATATTAACATATATTTTAGTCTTTAGAGGTACTATATATCATGTTAATCATACCACAAACTATTTTAATCCACATATATATGCATATTTATATAAACACATGATTTTGATGATGCATTCAACTAAACTTCTAGTCTTTATCTCATTTTTGAATACATATTTTTCAGACACTCTTCTATTTCCATTTGACAATTTGAGATGTACAATACTTAACTGTAAAACACAACTTGTTTTTGAGATCACATGGCATAGTGAGGAGATTGAGGTTGGATACCTGCCAAAGAACTCAAGAATTAGGGCTCTTAATCTAGCAAATTCCAAGCTGAAAAAGTGGTGGCCCAAATTTAGTAGTTAAGACTTCCCTTGGTTGCAAAGACCAGAATCCAGCTCAGATAAATTTAAATCATTAGCATATTTAATCTAGAGAGTGTGGAACAATCTGGGACTAGAAGGACAGGATTGTGTTGGTTCTCAGTAACAACTTGAGCCATGAAACTAAACACTATCAGGTGTCTCTCAGTGTGTCTACAGTCCTTAGACAAGCTTTATTTTTTTTCAAAGTGACCCAATTTCCTCTAAATATTTTGATGCATGGTCACTGACTTGTTCTGGGTTTTAAATCTTAAGAATTAGTTTTATCAGAATAACATGACTACTTCTCTTTATGGATCAGCTTGAGACTAGCACTAATAGTTTCAACATGGAGCAAGTGTCACCCTTTGGACCAATCCTGTTGAGCTGGAGCTGTGAGACACTATCTTGGACTTGGTGGACCCTAAACCAGGCAGGGGTCAGAAATAAAAAAATGCAATAGCATTGCAAATTTTAATGTAGTTTTTGACTTTGGACAAGTGTAGTTCCTTGAAGGAGGAGATTGTTGCTTCCAAAAGAAAGGAACAGTGTTGGGCAGATAAAACTATGACTATATATAATAGAAAACCATAGCTAATTAATCACTGATCTAGAACTTTGTATGCTAATGTCAATTAAAAAAAACGAGATAAACACAATAATAACAAGAAAAGATGTGTACAAATTAGAAAGTCAGATGTATATTTTTTAAAAATAGAAAAATAAGCAAAAGGCAAATAAAATACACACATTGCAAGGGGAATAGAATACCCAAATTTTTACTCAAAAATCTTGCGAATCATAACAGATTTAATATAAGGGATTAAGCCATGTACCAATTCTGATATATCACACAAAATCTTTCTTTTCCTTTTGGTGTAACTGATTTTCCTAAAATTACAAAGCATAGGTTTATAAACCAACATTTGTGGATCTCCCCTCCCACCATAGATCTACAGAGAATTTCCTGTGAGGATCTACTTGATAAACACATATTCTTTGTTTTCTGACAGAAACATCCATTGTTTTAAAAAATTGACTTTGACATTTAGAATGATATTAGAATTACAAAAAAATGAAAAGAATGTACATATACCTCTCATATATGTCACACCCAGTTTTTCTATTATTAATATGTTACATTAGTATAGTGCATTTGTTGCCATTAATATATTAATACCAATATTAATGGATAATTGTTAACTGAAGTCCACGTGTTAATCAAATTTCCTTAGTTGTTCCCTAGCCTCTTTTATGCTTCACCCGACCATCCAGAATACCACATTACTTTGAGTTGTCATCTCTTTTTAAGCTTCCCTGGGATGTGATAATTTCTCATATTTATCTTGTTTTTGATAATCTTGACAGTTTTGAAGAATATTGGTCAGGTATTTTGTAGGATGCCCCCTTATTGGAATTTGATGATTTTCCTTAACCTTAGACAAGAGTTAAGAGTTTTGAGATGAAGATCACAGAGAAAAGGTGCCATTTTAATCACATCATAACAAGGACATATACTACCAACATGATTTATATTGATTTTGAATACCTGACTGAGATAATGATTGTTAGGTTTCTCCACCATGAATTTCTTTCTACCTGTATCTTTTCATGCTGTACTCTTTGAAAGGAAGTTGCTGTGGACAGCCCACACTTAAAGATTGGGGATTTATGTTCCTTTTCCTTTAGGCTGGTGTATCTAATAAATTTTTGTTGTTGTTGTTTTGGGGGTTTTTTTTGAGTTGGAGTCTCACTCTGCCACTCAGACTGAAGTGCAGTGGCCGCTTCCAGCCACCGCAGCCTCGACTTGCTGGGCTCTGGCGATCCTTCTGCCTCAGCCTTCCAAGTAGCTGGAACTATATGTGTGTGCTACCTCACCCGGCTAATTTTTGATTTATTGTAGAGATGAGGGCTCGCCAAGTTGCCCAGGCCGGTCTCGAACCTGCGGGCTCAGGCAATCCACTCACCCCAGCTTCCCAAGGTGGGGGATTACAGGCTGAGCCACCGAGCCCGGCTGTACCTAATAAATTGTTTGGAATTCTTTTGTGCCAGATATTTGTCTACTCTCTTCCATTTATTAAATTATTCAATACTTAATTTATATCGCGATTGACTCCTGGATATTTATTTTATACTTTGTGTTATAATCCATTACTACTTTACTTATATTTTTGCTTAAATTGTCTCCTAGTTTTGGTCAACTTGGGATAATATTAAGTTTGTCCCTGTCTTTCTTTGAGAGAGCTCCGTCAATGTGAATTTTAAATTTCTTGAAAAACCTCCTTACTTTCTGTCACTACAAGATGTTTCAGGGTCAGAGTGTATATTTTATGCCCCAGTCTTAGAATCAGTCATTTCTCCAAGGATCCCTGATTTTATTTTTAAAGACTGGTATTAGAAACCAAGATCTGGGCACTAGATTCTTCATTACTGGGGTTTGCATTTAGGCCCTCTCTCTGACAGATTAAAGAAATTCATGTGTGTATCCTACCCTATGTGTCTGTGATTGGCTTATTTCACTTAGCATAATGTCCTCAAATTTTATCCCTGTTGTTGCGAATGGCAGAATCTTCTATTTTAAGACAGAAAAATATTACACTGTATGTATATACCACATTTATTTATTCATTCATCTGTTGATAGATTCTTGGCTATATATCTTGGCTATTGTGAATAATACTGCAATGAACATGGGAATGCAAATACTTTTTCAAGATTCTGTATTCAATTCTTTTTTATGAGTACCCAGAAGTAGGATTGCTGAATCGTATGATAGATTTATTTTTACGTTTTTGGGATGCCTTCATCCTATTACCCATACAGGCTACACCATTTTACATTCCTGTCAACAGTGTGCTAATGTTGCAATTTCTCTGCATCTTTGTCAACATGTTATAGCTCAATTTTATAATAGCCATTTTGATAAGTGTGAGATGATATCTCACTGTCTTGACTTTCATTTCCTTGATAATTAATGATGTCAACATCATATACCTGATTTGTGTGTCTTTGAAGAAATATGTGTTCAACCACTTTGTTCATTTTAA